CCTTCAAAATGTGTCCGAATGTGAGTTTTCCCAGAGATGTGGACATGAGTGGACGCGTGTCCCATGTGAGCAGAATGAGCAGACACCTGCCATGCAGCCAGGACAGTACTATGCTCATCTGGCCTGGATGCTCCTGATATAAATAGTCTGATAATCGAGAGGGCTGCTGTCCACTGCCTTCATCGCACAGCAGTGCTCTGTCTCATCAGGGTTATTTCCATTCATCAGCACGCAGGCAGATATCCTGCCACTGATTTAGCCCATCTCCCACTCACTGTGCTGTCTTAAAAGCAGCAGGACACGCTAATCCCAAACGGCATCTGTTTTGTTTTTTTATGCTTTTCTAACAACGGGAGTTTTTTTTTTTTTTTTAGACGTTGCCCGTGCCGCGCCATGGACGCGGTAGGTGTACGCGAGGCCCTTTCTGAGCGGCGAGTTCGGCCGGAGCTGGAAGGGCCCAGCCAGGCCTCCCAGGCGTGTCCGTTTCCCCCAAGCCCGGGGGGCCGGTCCCGTCTTTCCTCGGTGGTTGCCATGGCAGCCTGGCGAGGTGGCCCCGTTTCCTGGTATACTGAAGGCCCCTGGGGGGCGCCTGTCTCTGCTCGCGCTCGTTAACTAAATCAGACAAGCGTGGCGGGACTGTCGCACTCCCTGGCAGCCTGGCGCTGAAAGGACTGAGAGAGAGAGAGAGGGCAGGGGCATGCTGGGATAGAGCGAATGTGTGTGTGTCTGTGGGTGAGTGTGAGCTGTGGTTAGAGAGCTGTTCATTCCCCGGAAAGGCCCAAGAATAAGGATAAGAATTCCTTACACTTATTTAGCGCTTTTCTATACTCTCCACTCAAAGTGCCCCAGTCCTCTCCCCACACACCAGCTCTCAGTGGGGAGGAGAGCAGAGATGAAGCCAGTTCAGAGAGGGGGGGTTAGTAGGAGGCCATGACTGGTAAATGGCCCAGGGGGAAATTGGGCCAGGACACCGGGGTAACACCCCTTCAAAGATCAAAATAATAATAAAGATCAGAAACACATATATGATTCTTGCGAAATTAATACAGCTAATCTCAGAATCCTAAATGTGCAAATTCTAGAATACAGTTAAAAGGAGCACAGAGTCTTAGAGCCAGAGAGACTCCCATCTCACTGCAATAGCCTTCTCAATGCAGGCACCTTCGAAAGTCCAGCCTGGTCAGTCTGTCCTGGGGGAAATCCCTCTCACCTGCTGCAAAGAGGCTGCTGCTGGCTAGGACCTCATGGCTGGTTTTTCTGTGCTGTTCTGCATTTCCACTCAGTTGATTCCAGGTGCTCTCCTGGTCTGTTGGTATTTGCTATTCCAGGAATGTGTGAACTTGTAATAATAATAAGAAGTTCTCTCTGTGAGTTTTTCCTCAATTCATGGTTGCAGGGGAGTCAGTGCAAGGCAGGGTACACCCTGGACAGGACACCAGACCACCATGGGCATACACACACACACACACACCCACACCAGGGCCAGTCTCCCCAAAAGCCCAGCAAACCACCGGCATGTCTGTGGACTGTAGGAGGAAGCCCACGGAAAACAAGAAGAGATCTAACTAACTGAGAGCAGAGAGCACCCCGGGACTTAACCCCAGGCCTGCAGTGCTGAGAAGCACTAACGCTGACGGGTGTGACTGGTGTGCCGTCTCGACATACAGGGAACAAAAAAAGGATCAGAAGAGGCAGAACTGGACGTTCTCGCGGGGGTCCTGTTGAGCGGATCAGTTGAGCCGTCTCTGGCAGTACTTTCCCACTCTGTTGCCGCCATGGGGGATTCCAGTGCTGTTCCATCCCCCAACCTGTGTTGGCAGGTGGGCTATTGACGGCTCTTCAAAGAAGGTCCGGGATCCAGGAGCTCCTGAGATGAGGCTCCTGCAGTATCCAGGGTATGAAGTGAGACGCTGGTCTCCGAAACTCTGTGTGGCAAGGGGCTCTGCCTCTGCTCAGGTGTACTACACATTATTGGAGGTGATTCACTCGCCTTATTGGAATCAAGCCATCCTGCAGGACTGCGATGAGGAAATGTGTCGTACCTGGTGAATGTGGTCTGTGGAATGAGTGAATCTCCGGGTGTCTTGGAGGTTTTGTGTCTGTTGCTCAGCGTTTCAGACTTTAGGTGTGATGGGAATTTTTACCAGGCAAAGAGGTCGAGTTTACATCTTTAAAAGGCACTAGGGACACTAGGGTCAGTGGTGTGGATTGCTGGAAACTGCTACTGTCATTCCTGAACTCTGGTTGTGATCAATTGTGTTTAAACAATTAAGACTTTGACATATGCTGTTAGTTTGCTTGGGTTCAGAGGGAGCAGGAAGCTGTGGAAGAGAACCTTCTGCCTACAGCTCTGTTTCTCTGAGTGGAGCAACGTGTCACAAAGATCACAAAGCTTTGAACTTCAGTTGACTTCACACCTTTAATGCTCCAACATCTGTTCCTACTCGTCTCTATTGGTTCATTGTCAAGTACCTTCAGATGATATATCATGAGCTGTATTACATCAAATAAATAGTTATAAAATTGCAAGCAGTAAATTAAAAATAAAATTATCATAATGATCATGCTGAAGTTACTATTGTTAATAATCTTATTATTTTATCTGATAAAATGGTGCTAATAATTATATTAAAAATCAATACCATTAATGATATTTATAGGAATAATAATCTATTCATACTCTAATTCAGAATGTCTGAAATTTAAATTTAATTCACAATATTTCATTTAAAAGATATTCATGAGGCTATACAGTACTTTTCTACAAGCCATAAGATACTAGATACTAATTTATGACACTCAGTTGATTAAAACGGTGTGGACCAGAATCCTCCTTTTTATAAAATTTGCAAAACCATATTGTAAACAATGTAGCAGTTGTCAGGATGATAGCACTGTAAAGAAGAATGGATGGACATATTGTAGGTAAAAACACAGTATTTTTGAGGGAAAAAGGTGCTCAAGTGATTATAATATAATTCCTCTGACCATAAATTATCCAATGTGTACATCCATACAGTACTCTGTTTTTAAATCACTTCCTCAACTTGGGGACTTAACTTTCAGGACCTTGTCTTCTGAATCCATACATTCAGAATTACAGCACTTAATTCTGACAGTCTAGTACATTTCCCTGCATGACTGCTCCACAATTACTGACCATTTTCCGTGAAGGAACAGTCTTTACAACATGATCAGTAATTTGGAGCAAACATGCTTGTAGCTTTGACTGCATAAATTTGCACAATGAAATGAAGAGTAATATCTCA